CATCTTCTATTGTGTGTGTCACAGTGGGAAAACCCTGGCAACTATGGTCTTAAATGATGAAACAGGTTTACTACATTTTTATGCTAAATATGTTTTATATTTTTTTTTTCATCTATTGTGTGTGTCACAGTGGGAAAACCCTGGCAACTATGGTCTTAAATGATGAAACAGGTTTACTACATTTTTATGCTTTTAAATATGTTTTTATTGATTTTTAGAGAGAGAGAAAGGGAAAGAGAAAGAGAGAAAAACATTGATGAAAGAGAATCATCGATTGGCTGCCTCCTGCATGTCCCCCACTGGGGATAGATCCCAAGACCTGGGCATGTGCCCTGACTGGGAATCCAACTGGCGACCTCTTGGTGCATGGGTCAATGCTCAAGCACTAAGCCACAGCGGCCAGGCAGTTTACTACATTTTCAAACAATACCTAGATCAACTCAATGTCCAATTTGAACATAAACACTTAATAAACGTTTGTTAGTGAAGTGTAATTGTCAGAGATAGAAATGGAGTTGGATAAATTCAGGCTAGTAAATCTGAGGAGGAAAAGGAATGGATTAATTTAAATGCAGGGTAGGTAAGATTGGCTGCACAAAAACCTAGAAGGGAGAAATCTGTGCAGGAAACACAGGAACGGCAAAGAGAAGGTGCTGAAGGAGTCACTCCTATTATAACCTTTAAGAATGGGTCTTTTCCAGGTTTTAGTGGCATAATTAAAGCAAGTCGTTAACACAATTCACCAGCTTCCTTTACTTGTTACTACTCTTCCTTCTTCCTAGGCGGTGGGAGTGCTTTTCCAACTAAAATAGTAATTAATCACCTCCCCCAGCAGGTGCAGTATGAGAAACAGGTCCTACAGACTTTTGAAATACGCAGGCTATTTTACATCAGTCTGAACGATGAATTGTTCATCCCTTCAACAAGAATTGATTGTCTGCTCTGTGCAAGGTGCTGCCCTGGCTGTAGGAGGGACAATGCTGACAGGGCGGATAGCATCCCTACCCTCAGGGAATTTGCATAGTGGCCAGAGTCGAGGGACCCTGAGGGGGATAAAGGCACAGATCACAGAGCCAAGATGTATGAAGCAAAATGGGGACTTCAGTATTTTAGAGCAGCGGTTCTCAACCTGTGGGTCGCGACCCCTTTGGGGGTCGAACAACCCTTTCACAGGGGTCGCCTAAATACATCCTGCATATCAGATATTTATATTATGATTCATAACAGTAGCAAAATTACAGTTATGAAGTAGCAACGAAAATAATTTTATGGTTGGGGGTCACCACAACATGAGGAACTGTACTAAAGGGTCGCGGCATTAGGAAGGTTGAGAACCACTGTTTTAGAGCCACGAATTAGTCCTTCAGACCATGAGGTCACTGTTTTTGCTTGAAATGTTGTAACTCCACAGAATACACTCCCCCGAAGCAGATGTAAATGATGTTTTTGTATCCACCCTGCTCCCTATGCCAGCAGGACAGGCCATTGAGCTGTGGTTACCATCCACTGCACTGGGTACAGCTCCGACCCAGACTAGTTCACTTTATCTAGTGTGGGGCTCCATGTGGGAGGCAAAGTTACAAACTCTTCAGAAATAATATGTACGAGGGATGGTGACAATAATAAGATCATTAAAGGGAGAGAGGGAGGTTGCTGGTGACTTAGATAATGGCCTTCAGACCTCCAAACGGTAAATGACGGATGTTAGGCCACGAAACCTTTCTCTGGATTTGAGCCCAAAAACATTGTCAGGTTCCTAAAACAAAAGGGAAGACTCATCGTCATGACCGGTAACCTTACGTCGATGCTGCTCGAGAACAAACACACAGACAGAACAACGTGCAGTGTGGGGCTGGGGACCCAAAGAAGCTGAGAAGCCGAGGTTCCAATTTCATTTTCAGTTTCCAAAATATTCCCCAGTTTGGATGTGGGGAGAAAGAAAGAAAGGTCCCGCGAGGCCACATGCAGAGGAAGGGCTGTCGGCCGCAGGCTGACTAACATTCGGCTTCCTGCTTTTTATTTGATTTGAGTCTGAAAAACACAGATACAAGAATGGCTGGTGCGCAGGCCAGCCCAGGCCAGCACATGAGGCTTTGAAATCATCTGTCGTTTCCGTCCCGCCCGGTGGTGATCCCAGGGCTGTAGGGATCTAGAGGAAGGAAAAAGACCTGGGGATGGGTGTCCTGGAGATGGGCGTCCCCAGTCCCGCAGCCCCCCGGGGGCCCTGCCGAGGAGAGAGAGCGCTGTCCCTGACTGGTCTGCTACAAGCAATCAACTGTCAGATTTCCTACTCTGCCCCAGGCCTGGGCAAGCTGCTTTCTCACCGGACAGAGCTGGTGCAAGGCTGGGATAAGGATGCAATAGCGGTGAAGGGGCCACATGCTCACCCCAGGCCTGGGTCGAGCACTTTCATAGGCCTTCTGAGTGTTTTCCTTATAGAGAATAGGAGGCTGTTGCTTCTCCTTTCTTTCCCATTCTTGTCCGTTCGCGTGTCGTTCCCGGGTCCTAATAACCATAGATTTCATTTTCCACCCACCCACACTCCTTGCTCCTCCCCAGTCGGTGGTCTGGAGAGAACTCGTAAATGTCATTGGTCACAAAGCCGCTCTCGATGCTGGCCAGGGTGACGAACCCGCTCTCAGACGGGTTCACAGCCCTGTGGTCGGAGTCACAGGACATGTCCTCGGGAGTGGCTTCTCCCGAGCACCCTCGGAATGAAATGTTCTTCAGGTCCGGCCGGGTCTCGGCCAAATCAGCTTCGCTTTGTTTCCGGATGACGCTGTAAACCTCCAGGTCCGGGCTGAGCCCGGGGCCGGGCGAGGGCCAGATGGTGCGCGGCTCCTTCGTGCTGGGGTCTGGCTGCTCCCGTGTCCTAGGAGAGAAGACAGGGCTGAGTTTTCAGACGCGGGGACTGCAACCATCCCTGTGCCTGACCATCCCTGTGCCCGCTGGCCGGGCCGGAGGCCGTCCTGGGCAGGCACAGCTGTGCTTCTCACCTGCCTGACTCCACAGTCAGGCATCTGCAGGGCGAGGGGGAACAAAACAGGGGCGTGTTGCTAGGTTCAAAGCGACTGTAAATCTACCACTCACTGCTGCGGGAGCATGGAACAGAGGTGTCTGTCCTGGGACCTTCCAAGCCCCCAAAGCGTCCATGATAGAATGGGATGGGGAGAGATTTCACTTAAAAAACAACAACCCTCTTCTCTAAGTGAAAAAGGCCAGTCCTTCAATTCTAAGTGTAGGAAAATAAACAAGAATAGAATTAGTAATATCTCTGACTTGATCAACAAGAGAAATCATAGATATTTTTGTGATTTCATGATTTTATAACATCACAGTAATAATAGATGCCTTAAAATAACTTCAAAATGATAATAATTACACCCACCACTACATAAAGAAGCATCAATCAAGGAGGACATGTATTACTGTATCACATTCTTTTGGGGAAATACTTTGCTAAACTACATATTCGTATAATCGCTTTCTTTACATCCAATGCATTTTATTTTATGCATTGAAAAAATATTTTTCCAGGAAGGAATCGCTAGGTTTCACCAGACCAGGTGAGGTGCTAAATAGGCAGAGGAAGGAAGAGAAATCAAGAACCAATCGCAGAATAAGCAGCCGTAAAACACAATTGTAATTTTTTAAACTGAATTCAATTTTTAGATGAAAAGGAATTAACTAGTAAAAATGAGCACAGTAATAAGAGCGAACATTTTTGAGTGCTTACTATATGCCCATTCTGCCTGTACTAACTGCTTTGATGCTAATAATTCTCTAAGGAAGTCGTTATTAAATGCAGCAGGTTCTAGACTCTTACTCAATCATCTTAAATTGGTCATCAAAGGGCGTCACATCTGAAACTGGACCTTCGTTTTCCTGTTGTAGAGTGGGCACACCAGCCTTCTCCTCTGTGTACCAGGACAATGGGGGAAAAGGTAGCTGGGAAGCTCTGGGCATCTCAAAAGTGTGGCACATGATCCATCAGTGGAGTGGCCCTAGGCCAGTGATGGCGAACCTATGATATGCGTGTCAGAGGTGACACGCGAACTCATTTTTTTGGTTGATTTTTCTTTGTTAAATGGCATTTAAATATATAAAATAAATATCAAAAATATAAGTCTTTGTTTTACTATGGTTGCAAATATCAAAAAATTTCTATATGTGACACGGCACCAGAGTTAAGTTAGGGTTTTTCAAAATGCTGACACGCCGAGCTCAGAAGGTTCGCCATCACTGGCCTAGGCTATTAGTGTAGGTGTTTTGTAGCAGTCTACAATTGCTATTCAGTGGAAAGAAAAGCCAACTAAAAGTATTTGGGTATTTCATTTTGAATAGAATGATTCAGTTTCAGAGGTTTGCCAGAATGTTCTGAAAGAGATGTTTTCCATGTGGCTCACTATTCACTCCTCCACTCACTCAACAAACACTTTGGAGTGAGAGCGTGGGTTTCTGAGAGCACTTGGCTGAGTGGATGCAGAATAACACAGTTTCAACCCTCAAGCCATTTAAAAAAAATGAATGAATGCAAGATCACTCTCAACCACAGCTAAGCACAAATGCTTGGTACTTCAGAATGCCTAAAGCACGGCAGAGAATTTACTCTCAAAACTGCAGTGGTGTTTCTCTTGTTACTGCCATGGTTTTTAGTTAAATAAATAGGGCAGTGTCCAAACCTGAGAGTTCAGAAGACAAAAGTTTGCATGACCAAGGTTTTACTTGCCTCCTCCTCCAGATCCAAAACCAGCAGACAACTGTGGTAACCAGCAGGAGGAGGAAGAGGGGGATGCCGGGCACTAGGAGGTAGACAAGGTTCCAGGCAGCTTCTGAAAAGAAAAATGCACGGTATCCGCATTAATGATGTTGTTCTGTGCTTCGAAACAGGCTTTAAAAAGCATAATCCACATAATCGACACAGAGTATTCCAAAGAGCATCTCCTTTCAAAAAATGAGTCTTTTCTCCCTGTCCAATTATCCTAGGTAACAGAGAAGTTTAAAGTTTGGGTCTCATACAATAGCAGAAGGGCAGTTTGGGTAATCACATTTTTTTTCCAGTTGAAAGATATTCTCTCTTCTTGTCCTTCCTCTCCCTTAACGAAGAAGGGGCTGTTAGGCGGTGTGGATGTTCCCAAGGCGGGGCGAGGGAGAGGGAGGAAGGAGAGACAGTCACAGGAAGCACGCGATTCAGACTGCAGAATCTTCCCAACATTTCTAAGACTAACTGGATCCAGTTGGGCCCATGAGCAGTGACTTCTTCTGTCCTTTAAGTCTTAGAACCAGAGAATTTTCTTTCAAGGGGCTTTGGGAGGATCAAGGATTGGGGACTGACCCCTTCCCTAGTCCGACTGGTCCAAGATTCTCATCCATCCAGAGGCTGTTGCTTTGTTTTTCCACAGAATCTGTTACACACACACACACACACACACACACACACACACACACACTTTAAATACCACCTTAATAACAAAGAGCAATAAAAATGCCACCCATCTTTGCATAGCACTGTGTACTTTTACCCAACATTTCCTTATATTATCTGTTGTAGAATAACACACTTGATTGGCCTTTGTCCCTGGTTCCTGGGAGGAAGGGGCTCTAAATCTTTGGAATTTCTCAGGTAATAAGAATGATTGTTATTCACGAGGCCCTCAGACCACATCAGAGTGGATGCTGACAGGGATGTCTCACAATGGGGCTGGTGGGAAGGCAGTGGGGCCTGGAGATTGAGCTCAATGACATGGCCAATGATCACATCAGTTATGCTAATGTAATGACACCTCAGTAACACTTCTCACACCAAAGCTCAGTGGAGCTTCCTGGTCGGTGAACACACTGATGTGTCAGGAGCATGAGAAGGCATCCAGACTCTAACAGAGAGAGGACAGGAGCTCCCCGTTTGGGACCTTTCTAGACCTCACCTGATGTGTTTTTCTTTTGGCTGGTCCTAATTTGTATCCTTTATAATAACATGTAGTCATAAGTATAGCATTTTCCTGAGTTCTATGAGTTGTTCCACCAAATTAACGAACCTGAGGGAGTGGTTGGCACCCCCTGGATTATATCAGTTGGATAGAAGTGCAGGTGGCCTGGGGATCCCAGAACTTGTGGCTGATGTCTGAAGTGAAGGCAGTCTTGTTGGGGCCTGAGTCCTTAACCTGTAGGGTTGTGCTAACTTGGAGGGCTAGAGTCAGAACTTAATCACCATATCACAATATCCTATTTTATTTTATGGACACAGTTTCTCAGGTAGTGAGAAAAACATTATTACTTCCATTATGCAAATGATTAAACTGAAGCACAGAGAACTTGTGGTTTTTTTTAAAGTTGCCCAGTGACAAAAACCCAAATTTCCCTCTTAAAATTCAAGGTGGAGCCCCCGTCTGGTGGCTCAGTTGGTTGGAGCATTGTCCCACACACCAAAAAGGTTGGAGGTTCGATTCCCAGTTAGGGCACATGCCTAGGTTTCTGGTCAGTCCCCAGTTGGGGTGAGTACATAAGGCAACCAATCAATGTTTCTCTTTCACATCAATGTTTCTCTCTCAAATCCATAAACTAATCCTGGGGTGGGGATAACAAAACAATAACAACTCAGAGTGGAGTCCAGGTTGAAAGTCCATTAGCACTCCAACTCATCACCACATTTCCTTTTATCTTTTATGATTTAACTTTTAAAAGGTTTTTGTCCATTTCCTTTATTTGTTTCACAATTAATATTCATCATGGATAGTATGCAGCATGGTCTGCGACTCTCTGCTCTTATTTCCCTACATTCATTCTCAGTCCTGCCCCATCACCCGCCCCAGGACTTCTGGGTGGTTCCCAAGGCTCCATCTTCATGCAGATTTTTCCTCCCCTGCAGTCTAATTTCCCCTATTGTCTTAGGACAGCTCCATCAGCATAGTTCACTGATGAAAGCTAACATTTGATGCAGTTTTTGCAAAGTCACAAATGCCCTGTCTAGTTCCATTGTTAGGTAGCTATGGGATGGAAAAAAGTAGGAAATGTAACTGTGGGTACTGTGTGATCAAGGGAGTCCCGTTATCTATTTTTCCCAGGAGAGTTCTGTATATACCTTTGTTTTCTTTAAATGTTTCTCTGACATCTTCTTTCTCTGTGTTTTCTGGAAGTATGGGTGTGGCTGGCTTTGTCCTTTCACCTGGAAACAGACACATGAACTTGAGAACCTGGAGAAAGGCATCGGAACACAGATACTCTCTGAAATCCTACCAGGTTCAAGGTGGAGTGCCAAAAGGCAGTAGCAATTTGACCACTGCCGTTTATAGACACAGGACAAGGGTAGACTTTGCTGGGATAGAGGTTTAATTGTCTTTTTCTTTCTGGTGAGACTCTTGCTGCCAAGAATCACGTACTGCAACAACCAGCAGGTGGTTGGCATTGAGGCACATACTGTGCGCAGGTGCTAAGGGAAGAGTCAATGACTCATTTCTAGGGCCAAACATGATCAGGTTGGCCCACTTGTTTAAACAGATGAGCTATTCCTTTCATATTGTCAATCATGACAAGTAACATCTCAAACTGAATTTTCAACGGTTCCTTTTCAGCTTTGAGAGAAACAGACAATGTTAGAGAGCGAGACTCTCCACGACTCGCCATGGCTGGATATGGCATATACCTGTTTAAATGTTCTGGGTTAACAATGATCTTTCTGTTGAATAATCTGGACTAAAGATCATATGGTTCTAAACCTATGAAGAAGGGCTGTGAAATAGCCCAAATTAGCCCAAACCTCAAAAGACAGGCTTACCTCCCAGCCCCGTAGAAGGAACTGTTGGTTCCTCTGTGGCAGAAAGAAACAAAAATGAAAATAATAACTACATTTCCATGCCGCCTTAATGAAATTGGCATCCAGTTATTTGCTCATTCAGTCACCAACAAACCATCTTCGTTATGAAGTTAGTTAACCGGATCACTTGGGCACAAAGACTAGCCCTCCCCCAGCTTTGCTTGTGCACTTTTTTTTTCTTTTTTAAAAAGTATTTTTAAATTTTTAAATATGAGATTACCAAATATACACAAAATAGAAAGACTGGTATAATGAACCTCTATGTACCATCGTTAGCTGCAATTCTTATCAACATATGGCTAAACTAGTTTCAGCAATAATCCTTCCCCACTACATTCAGGCCTGGGTTATTTTAAAGCAATCCAAGATGTCTTAACAATTCCTATTGGGATGCTTTAGAAAGCAACAGACAATGATCTCCACGCAGTGGAACTAGTTGGGGGGCTAAGTAGTCTACTGGCCAGCCCCTAGGTAGAGGCTGGTGGTCTAGAACTGAGTCATTTTACATATTTCAAAGAACCTCAGGAAAGTCAGGTTGCACAGACAACTTATAGCAAATGTGTGTACTCTCTTCTGGCAGTCACTCTCGGATGCCAACCCGATGGTCTGGGGCTCATGGGGATGGGGTCCTCAAGGGCAAGATTTTAGAATTCACAGTCCTATGGCCAGGATGTCGAAGCTACTCAGAGAGAAAACTTTTAATCGTCTTCTCATCAGTTCAGGAATTTATAGAGATGACTCAAATCCATTAATTTATTTAAAAAAACATTTATACAGTGCATGTCATATGACAGAAATATCATCATGTTCTAAGTGTTTTCTAAGACAAACAAATTATCCTGAAAACAGCCTCATGAGGTAGGTGCTATTATTACTCTGATTTTGTACATGAGGAAGCCAAGGTACAGGGAGATTATATAACTTGACCAAATCCCTCAGCTATTAAGTAATAGCTGAACTGGGATTTGAAACAATAAATTCAAATAAAAATTAAAATTATAAGGAGACAAACTATGCTAGGTAATGGAGATAACATAGCAAATGAGAAATAGTCCCATCCTTCTAAGGCTCTTACACTCTACAATTTGGCCATAAAATATAGAAATACAGGACAATATTAATAGATATTGATAAATAAAAATAAATGTTTTAATATTAATAAATATTTTTTAAAATTTTGTAATGTTACATTATAATACAAAGTATACTCAATAACGTTACATGATCTACTCATTTTCCTGTCTTTCTGTGGTTTAATCCACTGTGCAAACCTGCAGCAGTCAGCATATTTATGCAGCATTTGCTCCAGTCCTGCAGTGTGTCTGCAATGCATCGCCTGTGATGAATTATCTCTGTTTTTCACTGAACCTGCCTATGCCTTTAGCATACCCAGAAGTAATCAAGTGTGCAGATCCGGCTAGTATGCCCCCTACTCTATGTGGTCATGTTGTCAAATGCAGCTTGGGATGTTATTCAATCAGTCCCTTGCCACGCTGGCATAATGAGTGGTGTGCCATCCTGTTTGAACCACACTGGATGAACTTTCCCTAATCCACCAAGTGCAGGGATTAATTGGTCAAACATGTATATTTCCAGACCTCATGCCAAACATGTAGGGAGGGAGCCAAACTTGTAAATAGGCCGTTAAAGTAATGGGTGTGTGAGGAGCTATGATCCTCATGGGAGGATCACCTAACCTAGTTTGAGGGGCCCTGGAAGGTTCCCCGAGGAAATTATCATTTTTTAAAAATTTATTATTTTGAAGTAATTTCCAATTTATAAAAATTTGCAAGAATAGTACAAATAATTTTCATATATTCTCCACCCAAATGTTATAATTTTATCATATTTCATTTATTTACTTATTCTTTTTAATCTCTCTTCTCTCTCTCTTGCTTTCATTGCTCTGAAAGGTGACCTGCTAAGACAGCCTCCAACTTTGCAATCACCTGCCTAAGACAACTCTGCATGGGAGTTAGGGAAACAGGTTTCTGGGAAACATAATTCACTTGAGAGGGTGGAAAGAAAGAAAAGAAACCTTTTAGCAGAAAAAGCATAGTCCAATTCAAACAATTAAAAGATGATAGGATTACCTAGTAACCAACTAGAACTAAGTCATTCTCCTATCAGGAAAGGATGCAGAATTGGAGCCAAGCAGTTGGCTTCATGGAGGTGAGAAACTTGAGAGACAGATCAGAACTCACTTCAAGTTTAGATCCAAGCCAGTTATAATGGAGGAGTGTGGGAAACTCCAGCACAATGAGACTACAGTCTTAGAGTCCAAACCCTTGACAGACCTAGGAGCAAATGCCCGTTGCATTTGCAAGGTACATATAGAGGGTGGTCTGGGAGTTCAAGCTCATCAATGTGTCTACCCTTTGCCCCAAACCAGATAAATTGGTGTATTTTATCATCTACTGCCTCAGGTCACAATTCTGTTTCCTTAAAGCCCCAGAAAATAATCTCACATGGCTGTTAGAAGACTTGTAGGAACAATGGCCAGTTTCTTTTCCTATTTCTTCTTTATTCCAAGCTCCTACAGCCAACATCACATGTGGAAAGAATAAGAATTTGTAATTGTCCACTTAGAGAACTTTCTGTTTCCCGAAGTTCTCATAATTCTTGCTTTATTATACATAAATTAGACCCTTTCTTTTCTTCATCTCTCTCTTAGCATCTGATACCCCTCTCCTTTGCTAGTGCTATTCCTCAAGGAGGAAGGCTCTCTACATTTCCCTTTCCAAGGATTCCCAATGTTTGACATTGCTGGCATGTGCAACACACTTTCTTGGAGACCACATAATAAATTCTTGGAACCAGCAGCTGCTCATGAAATGAGAGAGGAAGTTGAGAGATTCAGCCACCTAACTTGGGAGAGGATCATTACCATCGGAGTATTTGCAAATGAAATTGTTCTTCATGTTGCATCGGTCGTCATTCCACTGGAACATATAGGGGCCCCCGATGCCGGTGGGTGCAGATGGCTGATGGTACATGACTACGCAGACCTCGCTGCCACAGGAAGGCTCATCCACATACCAGTTCCTGTAGGAAAGGGGTCAACAGTGGAGGCAATTGGAGAAGGATACCAGCAGCCTTCAAAGCCTTTGTTTGTCCATCAAATCCTACTGAGCCACGAACTTAAGACTCTGCTTCAAGAACACTATACAGAAAAAGGGAGGAATTGAAGTACCGCCAGGCTTTCTAATATGGACAGCACAATCAATCATCTGACATTTGCCACAACCTTTTTGCAGGAAGGAAGGAATATATTACCATATGATTTCTGCGAAGTAATTATGGGGGGGGGGCGGGGCTAGCAGCGCATTCTGAACAATCTTATTTATTGCTTGCTTTTCGATAACTGGGTTTGTTTTTCTTCTTTTATAAGTCGGATGTGCTGAGAAGAGGCATGACTCATCTCATGTCCTGCTCCCATCTCCTCACACTTTTTAATTGGCCATAACTGACTTTTCCAGCCCTGGGAAGACTTTCCAAAATATAGAGGCTGTCAAAGCGGGTGAGGGGGTGGGGACAAGAGCAGAGGGCCCACATAGTCTCCAGTTGTTTCCTGCTCCTCAGGCTGATGAGCCCCTTGGTTGGCCTTCACTGCTAGATTTCTTGTCTTGGTCTCCCTGGCTCCTGGGTAGGATGCATTAGCAGCCTCAGCTTCCCTATCCAGTGCTACTTGGAATTAAATGGCACTGCCACCCAGCTGGATACGTGGGTGCCAGGTTTTGGATTTCACAAAGCGTCGAAGTGCTCTGAGCACCCACCCCATGCACTGGCTATGGGCTGGCTCTAGTCTACCTGATTACGCACCTGAGCTGTTCCCTTCCAGCACTCAGAGCTTGCCCTGATGCTCAGATTATTACTGGGCCCTGCGGCTCTGCCTACCCTTATCAGAGCCTCTCCTTAGGAAACAGCTATGAGTCAGGTCACCTCATAGCACCCCATTATGGCTCTGCTCAGTGTTGTATTCCATCCACCAAAAGGAAGATCCTTTGCTGCACCCACTGAGTTTTATGTGCCTGGACAATAGCTGGCATTGCAATACCACTGGATACTATGCCTGGATCCTCTGCTCCTCATTAGTTACCTCCAGGCCATTTTCCAACTCCGTGGGTGGGCCTCCTACACTGACTTGCCATTGGCCTTATGGCTTTCCACTGGCCTTATGGCTTTATGTTATTTCATCTCACAGGTGATAGACTAGATGGAATGTTATACCTGGCACCTGGTTTCAAGCTGAGCCTTCCCTGATAGAAGGAGAGGCTAGGTTCCAAGGAGGAAGGACCCTGCAACACCATGGCAGCTGCATGTGGTGATCATCTCCTCTGTTCTCCCAAAGGGGCCTACAGCCATTTACTCAAGTAGCCATGCAGTGGGAGAAGAGGAAACCCAACTATTATAGAGACTGCTGGACACAAGGTGCAAGTTGATATTGAAGCCCAAAGACTCGAAGTGACACCAAGGCTGCCCATTAGAGTGGGCGCATACTGAGGCCAGGTATCAAGTGAAATTCTGGCCCAGGACCAGCTCACAGGGGGACCCATCCAGTGGTCATTTTCGAGTCCCCAAATATACAAATTGAAAGCCTATAGGCTTTCATAGCAGAGAAGGTCAAGTGGAAGCCTCTGAAACTACACTCTTCCCAACCCTATTCAAGATAGTAAGTAAACACAATAACTTATCCAGGAGAAGATGACAGAAAATAGTGGCATCCCTAAAGACTTAGAGACTGCAAGGGTGGTATTCCCCATCACATCTCTGTGTAATTCACTAGTCTGCAGCAAAGCAGGCAGGTCCTGAAGGAGAAGACTGGAGTAGTGCAAACTGAACCAAGAGGAAGCCTCAATTGCAGCTGCTTTGCTGTATGTGGTATCTTTACTACAGCAGGTTAACATGCCCTTGGTACCTGGTATGCAGATCTGGTGAACACATTTTTTTTCATCTTTATCAGGAAAAGAATCAGAAACAGTTTGTATTTATTTGGAATAGACAACAGTAGACACTCCAGTCTTCCCTCAGGACTACACTAATTTTCCTGCCCTCTGTCCTAATATGGCATGAAGAGACCTGAGCAGCCCAGACATCTTGCAGAAAATCATGCTAGTCCATTACATTGCTGACATGCTGAGTGAAGCAGATGAGCAAGGAACAGCTAGTAAATTGAGACTTGGTACGATTCATGTGCTCCATGGGTTAGAGCTAAACCCTATGACGATTCAGGAACCTGCCACTTCATGAAAATGTATAGGTGTCTAGTGATCTAGGGAATGCCAGAACATCCCTTTCAAATGAAAGGATTTAAAGCAGTAATTTGAAGCATCTTGCAATAACTTGAAGAAAGAACCGTGGCATTAGTAGGTCTCCTTGGGTTCTAGAAGCATATTTCACACCTGGAAATACAGCTCTGGTCCCAAAACCAGCTGACACAAAAGACAGCTGGCTTTGAGTGGGATCTAGAGCTGAAAAGGACCCTGAAGCAGGTCTAGGCTGTGGTGCAAAGAGACTTACCACTTGGGCCATATGATCAAGTAGACCCTGTTATTAGAGGTATCAATGGTGGGAAAAATAATGCCATGTAGAATTTGTGACAAGCCCCAATGAGAGAATCACAAGGCAAATCCCTAGGATTCTGTAGCAAGGCTTTGTCATCTACAGCTGAGAAAGAACCACCTGGCTTGCTACTATAAAATGAGCACAAAGAGATCATTCAATCCAACTTGTCCATCATGAGTGAAGCACTGTCAGACACATATAGTCACAGGCCGGGCAGGCCTGGAATCAATCCATTATAGATGGAAGATATATATGACTGAAGGGCATTGTATGAGTAGGGTAAAGAGCACTGTATGAATAGGTAGAGCAGACTGCCATGACATCTACCACTGTTGTACTAGTGTCTCTTTCTCAGCTTACACCTATGGCTCTATAAGGGAATCCCTTGCGATGACTAGCTGATAGAGGCAGCCTAAGCTTGGTTTGTGGATAAGTCAGCCAAGTATGGCGTACAGCTCCAAATGGATAACAGCTGCACTACAGCCCCACTCAGAGGTGGTCTTGAAAGGTCAAGTGTTAAGAGGACATCCTTCCAATGTCCAGAGCTTAGTTGGTAGTTAGTGGAGGTTAGAAGAGAGAAGGACTCAGGGGTAGGGCAGAGAGCTTGGCCAGCTGATCAGGGGAAAAAGCTTTCTAAAAGGAGAAAGAGTATAAGATTGGGGACAAGAAGCTATTGGATGGAGTGTTATGAGTAGACATATGGGAATAGGCATAAAGTATGAGACTCTGTTATATGTTAAAGCCCACCAGAAAGTATCTAGCATGGAAGAGACCCTTAACAACGAGGGAGACAAAATGACTTGGCCAGTTGACGTCAGCTAGTCTGTTGTCAGCTGCCCCAGTGCTGGTGCAATAGATACACACGAGAGTAGCCATGGTGGCAGGGATGAAAACTGCATGGGCTCAACAGTATCGGTCCCCACTCTTCAAGGACCATCTAACCTGCTGGCAATAGAGACCAGTGCTAAGTCCCTGAAAGAGTACCAACCCTAGGAGACCAGCAAGTTGACTAAAATGGACTCCTTCCAGTGACTCATTTTGACCGGAATAGACACACAGCCTGGGTGTGGGTTTGCCTTTCCTGCCCCAGGGCCTTAGTCAGCATCACTATCCAAAGGGTTACACACACAGTATCTGATCTACCAGCACCGTACCCCAAGTAACATCTCATCAGACCACAGGATCTACTTTATAGCAAAGGAGTGGGAGTAGGCACCTGGCCATGGGATTTGCTAATCATCTCATATATTCACTATCCTGAAGCTGCCAGCTTGACAGAGTTATGGAAGAGTCATTGAAAACAAAGCTTGAAGCACTAGTTTAGAGGCAGTACTTTGTGAGAACAGGGCATCCTCCTCCAAGATGCAGCATACACTTTGAATCAATGACCTTTGTATCGTCCTGTATCCCCAAGAGTAAGACTACATAGGTCTGGGAGCCTAGGGATGGAAGCAGAAGAAGCCCTGATTACTATCACTGGTAGTGGCCCAGTTGGAGAATTTGTACTTATTGTCTCTGCAATGCTGGGCTTTGTGAGTTTAAAGGTCCTGGGACCCAAAGGGTACCCATTAGAAGATACAGCAAAAGCCTTATTGAACTACGAGCTTTGGTTGCCACCTGGGCACTCTGGGGTCCCTGTGTCCAGGGACCAGCAGGTAAGAAGACTATTATCTTGGCAAGGGGTAACTCACCCTAATCATGAGGAGGAAGTACTTCTGCTATTCCACATTATGAGCAGAGAGAAATATGTATGGCACGCAGATGGTCTATTTGGATACCTGTCAGTACTCATATGCCTAATTTTGATGGTAAATGGAAAAGCCTCCTAGTCCCTGAGCAGAGGGGGCAGGGAATCTGGACTGGATAGCAGAGGAGGGAGATGCAGTGGTGAGAAGTGCAGTTCATCTGATTAACCTCCCCTTTTAAGTTTCTCCCAGGAAAAGAAGCCCATGAGGATCCTGAAGGAGGTACTCCTAGAACTTAGATGAAGATGTGGATCTGATCAGCATAATGGGCAGACTTTCATAGATGCTGACATGCTGTCTTAAATGTAATAGGTAAAGAAGATATATTTTAACTTTCATTCTTTTTATTGATAATGAGTTTAAACTTTTTTTTATTATATGATTGTTTACCAGTTAGATTTTGTATTTTCTGAAATGTCTGCTTAGGTCCTTTGCCTCTTTTTTTTTTTTTAATATATTTTATTGATTTTTTACAGAGAGGAAGGGAGAGAGATAGATAGTTAGAAACATCGATGAGAGAGAACCATTGATCAGCTGCCTCCTGCACATCTCCTACGGGGGATGTGCCCGCAACCCAGGTAAATGCCCTTGACCAGAATCGAACCTGGGACCTTTCAGTCCGCAGGCCGACGCTCTATCCACTGAGCCTCTTTATCTTTTGGGGTTTTATTAACTTACTAGAGGCCCGGTGCATGAAATTCATGCAGGGGGTGGAGGGGTGGGGGAAGGGTGTCCCTCAGCCCAGCCTGCACCCTCTTGCAATCCGGGACCGGGACCGCTGGCTCCTAACTGCTCGCCTGCCTGCCTGATTGCCCCTAACCCCTCTGCCTGCCTGCCTGATCACCCCAACTGCTCCCCTGCCTGCCTGATCGCTCCTAACTGCTCATCTGCCTGCCTGATCGCCTCTAACTGTCTCTGCCTCGCCCCCGCCACCGCGGCTTCTTTGAGAAGGATGTCCAAAATGATGTCCAGAAGGTCATTCGGCAGTCTGGTCTAATTAGTATATTATGCTTTTATTATTATAGATGTAAACTTTCAGTGTTTTATTGACTTTTATATAAGCTCATAAAATATACTCTTTGTTAAATTTTCTACAATTTTTCCAGTCTTATGTCTGCCTTTTAATTTGATATTTTTTGATGTTTGTCACTGCATTTCTTGGGGTGGGGGTGGAGGCGATGGCAACACCATGGTGCCAGGGGAGGGCATGGGTTTAGGAAGGTTCTCTAAACTGCAGGCTCCCTTAAGCCCTCTCTTGCCCAATCCATAGAATTAGATCTTGTCCATCATTATGATTCCCTGTGGTCTGGAAATCTACCTTCAGTATTAGCCCCATAGACCTTCCATCTCTCACTGGAGTTCTAGTCTGAAAAGCCAGGTAGCCAGAATGATTGACTGCAAGCATTGCATGCCATTGGAACAATGCTTTGGGGCCATACCCTCCAGAAGAGAGTTCTCTGGATAAGAGCTGGGCTCAGATCAAGGCTGACTCACCACCTTCACTACACTGTTTTAGTCAGCACTATTCTGCTGCCCTCTCTTCATCGCTGTTGCGGCTGTTGCCTGGGTCGGCCTCCTCCTCCTCTTCCTCCTCGCTGATCTGGCACCGTGGGCCTAACCTGCCTCCGTTTGGAGTTGTGTCAAGTGTGTTAGCCACTGTGGGTTCCACATTTACCTGAATGTTGATATGCTGCCATCCATCCAAGTGTAAAGGTCCTGGCAGGCTGTGCTGTTGCTTTGCTTCTCCTCACGCCTCCGGAGCCCAATCCAGAAATCGCCATCAGACGCCAGGAGGTTTTCAATGAACTTTTCTATCAGCCTCTGTTCATCTTCAGACTCAATGCTGACTAGCTGGCCCCCATCCCTCCGGCAGGCTGCTCTGGCCTCCTCAAAGTTCAGTCTTCGAGAAGCATCATGGAAGTAAAGGACTTTATAACAAGGTCTCTGTGTTCCTCCCCGGCAGACCGGCTGGCCTAGAAAAAAAATAATTCCAACCCATGTCAGTGAACCCAAAGTACACTAGAGCAGAGACTTGGAGGCATGCAAATGAAGCTGTCCCTAGGGCAGGCTTTCTGATGACTCATCAGTGGACTGTTGTAAGATCAGTTAGGGTTCTGAGAAAAGTTAATAGCCTGCCCGCAGGAGATGTGGTGAGTTAGACTATATCACGTAGGGACTCCATGTTTTGTTTGTCCCATCACTGCTTCCTGAACAGCAGATTTTTGGCTTTCCTCTAAAAGAGAGGTAGATGAAAACGTGTGGTGTCACGTAATGGCACACAAATCACTTTCATGCTATTAGGGAGTCTCAGGGGATAATGTGGCTTTTTAAAATTTTTTTTTACTTTTATTTTTTCTTACTTCTTTAGTGTTGCTTTAAGTGAGTTATCTGTTTGGTGCTTCCTTCAGGGAAGAGAGGCATTCTGAAATTGGGTGTGGACTTCTCTACCCTGGAGCCCTCTGCCCATGTGGCAGGACTCAGAATTCACCCAGTTTGTGCACCGCTCTGCTACTGATCTTGCCTAAACTCAACTAAGGTTAACTGAACTCTCACTATGTGCCATGAACTATGCTAAGGTTTTTTTTTTGTTTTTGTTTTTGTTTTACATTTACATACATCATTTATCTCATTGAACTCCCATAGTAAGTCCCTGATGTAGATATTGCTTATGCCCCATCTTACAGATGAGAAAACTGAGGCTTAGAGAAAGTAAAGAATTTGGCTAAGGCCACATAGCTATCAGCAGCATTGCCTAAGTCAGAGCCCTAATTATAAAGTCATGTCAGTAACCAGTGAACTGTATTACCCACTCCCCATTCCACAGTCAGGCATGTTCCATCTGCTTGACAGCTGAAGGGCAGAAGACCATCTGAGACAAGTAGATGGGATTCTACTGAGGAGCAAATAACAAATTGTTCACCAGTACACACCACTCTAGCTTGGGTCCCGGTGCCTGGAGCCTTGCTACCCCTGAAACATGAGCCTCATTACTCCTTTGTTTAATCATCATGTACTGAGTGTACTGGCTATGCCTAGCACTGTGGTAAGTGCTGGGAATATGGAAACAGATGCCAGTTCCCAGCCCACGGGAGCAGACAGCATCTGTTTCTGGATCCAGAGTCCAAGGGGAATCCCTTCCAGCGAAGAGCCAGATCCTGGGCCGTGGGTGTGACTTGTTGCATAAAGCAAGGGGTAACGGATTTTGGTTTGCAAGCCTCTTCCCAGCCCTCATGGAATGTTCTCACTTTCCTAACTTATTCTGCAGCTGTGCTGGGAGCCAGATAGCCTTCATTATTCTCCATCATGAGAATACAGTGCTACACGGGGACGGCGCACATACAGACAAATCCAGAAGGCTGTGATTTCTTATTTCCTATTTCTTCTTTCATTGCTTTGGTAGAGAAAGTCTCAATAAGCAGCCAGTTATAAAGAGTTTGCATCTTCTTTCTTTAGGTGTCATTCTGCTATTGCTAAATAAACCCGAATAGGACTGGTCCTCCAGAGAAATAGGAGGCCTCAGAAGTGGTATTTCACCAAAGAGGTATTCCAGAGAAACTGGGAACACTGGCCGGAAAGGCTGTGGCTGGGCTGCTGCCTGGGAGAAGACTGGGCCCGCTCGGCTTCAAGGAGTCCTTAGAGGTGGCTCCAAATGAGCAAAGGACAAATGCATGAGCCCTAGGCCCCCCAACTTACCCCCCCGGCCCCCAACTGGTCATCAGCAAAACAGAAGTTGTAGTTGATTCACTGGTAGTGCCCGCTGAACACTGTTGGATTATCAAGGAAAAAACATAACACCTGGAAGAATGTGGTCCAGCCTGGCCACACCTCCCAAGTCAGCAGGTGAGTGGCCCCCGAGGGCCAGAGCTGGCAGGAGGCCAAGGGCGCGTCTGGCTCCCCGGCCTCAGGAAGTGTCCAGCTCTTCTTTCTTGCAGGAAGGGGAAGCGGGGAGGGCCTTCTGTTCCCCTGGGCCGATGACAGAGCCCAAGCAGCCCAATTCAGTTCACCCTCCCCTTGGCCGCTCCGCACCCCACCCCGCCCGGAAACCAACTTTAGATGTTTTCAATCAGCTGTGCAAGCAGGAAACCAACTTTAGGATTTTTTCAATCAGCGGTGCCAGCAGGATAAAAGAGTGTGGGTTCCATTCAACTCTGTCCCTCTGGGGCCAGGCGGTCGCCTGCGAGGCGGGCCTGAGAAAGACAGGAGCGCGGGCCTTCTACCCCCACATGCAGAACGAATGCAAGAGGCAAGAAACCCAAGCACTGTACCTCCTCTGAGGTCCACGTCCGAGGCTGCAGACACGCGGGAGGAAGGAAGCAGAGAGTCACTCCTCAGAGTCAGGCGGGACTTGTCCCGAGCAAACTAGGCTTCTTCCCGATCTCCAAGCGCGTATTCCGAGCGCTGGATTCAGCCATCCCGCCCCCGCCCCCCAAAAGACCAGGAGTAACCGGCTAGGTTCCCGGGGCACAGCAGATCCGGAACCCCTACTGTACCCGCCCTCTCCTATCAGACCTTCC